ACGACTATAATTCTATTGGCTAAGGAAAAACGTCGTATGAACATTTGAGAGCCGCCAGATTTCCTTCCATAAAATGTCTATTCTTCCGAATCGTTACGAATATATTTCCCTGAAATTTTCAGGGACTTCAGGTGAAAAACACTGGGGTTGGATATTTGTATAACGATGTGCAATATTAAAGAGTTGATTGTAAAAAGTGATTCAAATATTGTATAACATCCTATTACAAACATTTTTATGCGTAAAAGCTTTGAGGTAATACTTATTCACGATTACACGCATACAAGGGTTCGTTTTGAAGACCTTCCCTTTTCTGTCGAATTCTTTTGATCAAAAGATTCCCTCGAGCTTGGCTTTTTTGCATCCTTTATCACTAAATGAGGCCGCATCTCACAAATTTTACGCAGGCTTCTCATAGAGAACGAATTCCTCCATAGAATTCTCGATCCCGAAAGAGAGAGTTGAAAAAAATGAGAAAAAATTAATTACAAGAGCGTAATCGTAGACTTCTTTTTGCGGGCGCCTCTGTCGCGCGTCGCACACAGGACCGAGTCAACAGGAGAAGTCGGACATTTGGAAAATTTAAACGATTATAACTCCGTTTATAGAAAACTTAAAAAAAATTAAAGGCTCTAAACGTGGTTCCATCGGTTTCGTCGTGAAATGTTCTTCCAAAGTTCTACCAAGTTCGTACAAGTACAAGTACAATCAAATGTTCTACCCATTAAAATTTAGTATGTGACGAAACAAGAATCAACATTTGTAGTTTAAGTCAAAAATTGTATGTCCGACCTCTCTAATGGAGATGTTGCATGTGTGAGGAATTTGCGATTTGACTCTCGATTCATGTGTAAAAGTTTACGAGAAACACGATGGTACCACTGGTTTTCTCTGCAATCAACTCCCAAGCTCAAAAAGAGCTCTCAAGCTGAGGCCAAAATGGAGGGGATACCCCACGCTATCCTGAGAGTCCACCTCTACATCAAGACAAACTCTCCATGCAAAGATAGGGAGCGAATCCATTAGCAGGGATGCCGTGTTTTCAGTTTTGGAGCCCCCAAATAAAGTGGCAGCCCTGTCAATGTATTTGCTCCCTATCTTTGCATAGAGAGTTCGTTTTGATGTAGAGGTGGACTCTCAGGATAGCGTGGAATATCCTCGGCCATTTTGGCATCAACTTGAGAGCTTTTTTGAGCTTGGGAGTTGATTTCAGAGAAAACCAGTGGCACCATCGTGTTTCTCGCGAACTTTTACATAAGAGACAACAGCCAAATCGCAAATTCCTCACACAAGCAACATCTCCATTGGAGAGGTCGGACATAAAATGTTTAACTTAGACTGCAAATGTTGATGCTTGTTTCTTCACATATTAAATTTCAAGGGGTACTTATGGAAAAACATTTCACGACGAAATCAATGAAACCACTTTTAGAGCCTTTAAGTTTTCTATGAACGGAGTTATAAGCGGTCAAATTTTCCAAATTTTGTCCGACTCCTCCTGTGTTACCATCGTGTTTCTCGCCAACTTTAACATAAGAATCAACAGTCAAATCGCCAATTCCTCACGCATGCAACATCTCCATTGAATCGACCCACTGTGCGTCGGGTTGAGATGACAACAAAAGAAGCCGCAGCGGGGATCGCGGCCGGGACGGAGGACAACCGAGATGGACACGAGTCATGCGCCACTTTCTTCTCCTTGAATTACTGGTCAGCATGCAAATCAGATATTTTCAAATAAAGCTGCAAACGCTTTGACAAAATAATTACAGCTCGGCCCGCACCCGCCTCAAACGTCCTGGCGGTGCGTTGCGCCCTGACGCCGCGCGCTGTTGCGTTTCCGTCGCTTCGCTGCTGTGATCCGTTAGAACTAAGTCGATGACCAAAAGGAAAAAGCACGTATCTCCATTGCAATGTTTGAAATGCGCTAGAGAGGAAAAGACGGGCAGAAGAAGAAAAATTTAATGCATTAGCGGATCCAGCAATTTGTCAACACCGAATTTCCTCCATTTAAACCTATGGAGATGTATCGATTCTTGGAGGGGCCGGGTGCTCCGACAAGATTCGATTATTTAGCAAAGGGTTAAATGGAGGACATCCGGTGTTACCGAATTGCTGGGTCCGCCTCTGATGTAATGTGTATAACGTATCTTATATGAAATCAATGAAATTGCATAAAACGACCGTTAAAAATGCCCATGAAATGGGAAATGAAATTTGAGAGAGAGAGATGATTTCTTCTTCTCAAAGGAAGTTTTATGAGTTTCATTTAACAAAAACTCATTATTACCCTACTCACTTTTACCCCAGTTTTTACCTCCTACCATTAACTTAACTTACTTTGCTTTTCTCCGCATGAATCTGCACTTTTCTCAAAATAGCTATATCCAAAATGTCTTTTGGTTTTTATTTCCACAATTTTGTAGTCCAAAGTTGTATTTGCACTGATTTATTTGACTTACTCTCGAAGTGTAGGACTTTTACAGGAATGAAAATATTGCTCAGTTGGCAATAAAATGAGTATATTCACCGGCGAATTTGACGGACGGATAATTATACCGCAAGACGGCTGCCCGCTCTGAGCGGAGTTCGGGGCTAGAGGCAGTAATAATGCGGATTACTACACAATTGAAAGTTGAAGCTGTGCCGGAGCGTTTTCTGTTTTCTAATCATCGGAACAACATGAGATTTGCTTCAGGTATTAGGTGCGTCGTTTAATAAAAGTCACGGGTGCATGGTATGAAAAAAACTTGATGTACAAGAGAGTAAACCCGCCCAGGGCCGCATTAAGGGGATGGCCACATGGGCCGCGGCCCATGGTGGCAAATCTATAGGGGGCGGCAAATTTTGCAATTTTTTTAAATGTAGGTATAAAAAAAAAATCGGATTTAGAAAAAAAGGTACAAACGAGAAAAGGCAACAAAATCTCTAATTTTCTGAGAGTATAGTAATTTCTACTTTTGTCGTCTCTCAGTGATACAAGAGACAGCACAAGTCGAGTTAAGAGAGAGACCAGACACGAAATTTGGCCTGGAACGGCGCGACTTAGAGAAAAATGATAACGAGGACTTGAGATGAAAAGGAGAAGCCCGGCGCGGCGATCAGCATGTAACAAATATTAGCGCCTACAAGACTGCACGAATACTTCCCGCATTGCATCAAACACAGTGCGGTCATTGCGGTCAGCGTGAAACGGCTAGCGCCTACAATAATGCATGAATACCTCACGCATTACGGCAAACACAGTGCGATTAGCGTGAGACGCATAACGCCTACAAGACTGCGTGAATACTTCACGCATTGCGTCAAACACAGTGCGGCCTGCGAGGCGCGGCGGCAGAAGTTAAAATCATTAATCCACATTTATGTTTGTTCTTTCATAATTTTTCCGTTCATTTCTTATGAGTGGAAGGCCTTGTCCACACAGAGATAGGTTAACGAAATTAACTTTCGCGCAAAGTTCGGTGAACTTTTGCTAGTAGTGTTGACAGGGCTTTCCCAAAAAATGTGTTCAACACGAGTAAACGCGTCTTATGCACTCCTCCCCCGCTGTTACGTTTATTTGATGATTTTCATTGATGTTTCAAAACGAATGAGATGGGGGCGGCAAAATACTAGCGGCCCATGGGCGGCAAGTAGGTAAATCCGACCCTGAACCCGCCCAGAGGTGAGAGTGTTTATTACAAACTTCAAAAGACGCGAAACAGGAAAAATGTCTAATTGTGAGTGAGTCAAGAAAGTGAAGCGATGACAAGCGCACTTCAAAGTGCAAGTGTGAAGCGCCCGAAGTTGAAAACGCCGCGTCATTAACCTGAATTGAGGCATCTACTTCTCAGCCCGTACACATGCGAGCAAAAAACAACAGAAACGACCCATTTTTTCGGACCATACAGAGGCCGCTCATACCTGCAATTTGTCTTTCATATACGTAATGCGACACATTTAATCGTGGGAGCCGTAAATGCCAAATTTCTGCTGTAAAGCTTGATTTCTTTAATCTTGCTTCATCTCGAGAGGAAATAATCAAGGACCAATGCTTTTCACAAACTTGCTGTGATATTAGTTAATTTGGTAAAAAAAAAAAAAAAAGCCACCAGGACTGGAAACATTGCTGTCCCTAAGTTAGGGCAAACGTTTAAGCATTAGGCAAAGTTTTTTTCTGCGTGATCAATGTGTTTAGATTTTAGGACAAAAACGAGCGATTTTTCAGGGCAATCTTACTAGGCGGCGGGAGCCCTGAGAATTGAAGGCAATTTTAGGCTCCAGAATCTGAGCTCATTGTGTCGGCTAGCTCATGCCGTCATTTTTCCCGCACATATTATGGCCGCACATTACACATGACGGCCTGAGAAAAACGTGGCTAATTCGGCCCCTAGCCACGCTGCCAAATTCTAGGCAATCAATGTCCATTCGTTTACAGTTGCAAGGTGAAATGAAGAGAACTTGACAGCTACGTTTCGAGGAATCCTGGCTTCCCCTCCCCTAAGAAAAACCCGTCAACTTTGGAATATGATACTTCTGAAAAACAAGTAAATTGGGTAGAATGAAGCAAAATGGACACTTCGACTCGACAGCTTTGAACAAAAACCTATGTGAAATAGTTCAGAACTGGTTGTCACTCATAATGCAAGCAGGATTTGGGATCGAAATTCGTACTCCTCGGTTTTGGGCCAAAAATATTGGCGAATAACTAATGGTTCAATTCATTTTCTGTAATCTAATTTTGAATAACAATTTTGCGCAAAGACGTTGAAAAATTAGCAGCTACCAGTTCCATTTTCAGGCACAAATGACCTAATGTGACCTTTATCTTATTACACAATTTTACAGCCAAGGCAAAGAAGCCCGAAATTGATGATTATAAGAAGTAAAATTTTCCAAGTGAAACTTTTTTGGCCGATATGAATTTTAGAACAAGAAAACGCCCTGTAAACATCCTTCCACCACACTTCCCCTAATAGTGTTTTAGTGTATAGTGTAGAAAAATAGGTATGACTCACCATTTTTGAGCGAAGATTCATAGTTGAAGACGATTTTTTTGACGAAAATCTGAACTGATCAACGTCTCATGACTCCCGATTTGGAGATATCATGACGTCAACACTTTTCACAGATGTATAGGACACATTGTAAAATCGGTTGCACCGAAACACTAATTAAACCTGCAACAGAGATGAGCAAAAGCATAAGGTAAGTTTTTGTGATGACCGTTGTGATGGAACCTAAAAGAGTTTCATTTGCTTGTTTCAGGCAAAAGAATCTTAAGCTGAAGGAAACTAAAATAAATTAAATAACCATTTATTTAGCTTGAGAACGTCATTATTTTGCTTCATACGCCACATAATTTGCTGTTTCCCTACTGAAAAACATAGGGTAAAAAAAATGCTTATAACAGTTGAAATCTAACGTGAGCAAGATCAAAAACACACGGCGAAATTTTTTGTTTATTCAATAGGTTACCTGCTTTTGCATATGCTTCTGGGCAACGTGGATGTTGGTTTGAAGAAAAAAGTTCTTCAAGAAGCGACAAGTTGCGTTAAGAAGTGTATTTCGAACTTTTTTGACGTGTTCCTTGTAGGTAATTTTTGGCCAGGCTTCATAGACAAAAATACATTACGATGCCCAAAGTCCAAAATTACGTATTTCCGTTTGCAACGTCGCAGACTTGCTGTCATACTTTTATTATTTCTTTGGAAAACTAATGGAGAATTTGCATGCAAATTTTTTATTAATTCATCGGAAAGTGCTTAAAGAGCTGATTTCACAGTATTTTTTATAATTCCTTTCTGAAATGGGAAATAGTATAAAAATCATTTAAAAGTGAGAAAATGTACCGCCTAGTGAAATCATCTGGCGGAATTTCCCATTTAAATACATATATTTTAGCAGATTAGATCATTTTGTATACTCCTATTTTCACAATTATCTGTAAAGACGTTAATAGCCTGAGTCGCTGAATGTCTTAAAATTATAATAACTAACTAACTAACTCATATCGTCTCCAATAATCGTTCAATTCATGAACCAAGAGTATCCTCGTGTTCAGTTTATTCAGTAGTTTCTACTTTAACACGAAATTAATCCATACACCTGAGAATTCTCAATTGACGTAGAATCTTCATTTTTCTTCTCTGTCAGCAGAATACTTCGTACACGTTTCGAGCTTTAAAGTTGAGTTGATCCTCCCTTACACTAAATGGATTGCATTTTGCAAAAAGGAACCACTAGAATAGCAATGATGCTAAGATTGTGCAACTTCATCTTTTGCAATAAAATTGCGGAAATCGTGAAAAACTATGAAATTTAGATGGTAATTTTTGTCTTAAATTTACAGTTTTTAGCGAGTAAAATAGAAACTATTAATGGATAATCGGGTTTTTCCTCCAAGACAATAGAAGTTGCACAATCTTAGCAACATTGCAATACTAGTGGTTCCTTTTTGCAAAATGCAATCCAAATAGAAGCTCTGAAACTTTGCAAAGGAGTTACGTGGTTTTGCACTTTGGATATCATCCATCTCCGGGATTCGACGGACCCATTCGCGCAGAATCCCTTATTTATCCTACGTTTAGACGCGAGCACTCCGTTTTCACGTCTTTGGGATAACACACGGCAACCAAGAGGGCATTGTTTCACCTCTCCTCAGCTTGTCACTAATGAGGTGAAATTAGCGCCACTGGAAACCGAGGGGCAGGAGGGAGGGGGGTGTGGGCGGGGGACCGAGATCCCTTGTCGGAAGCTGGCTGTTGCGGCCGGGGCCCATTCTTTCGTACAAAACCAACAGTTTTCGTGCGCTCCCCCAACAAACGTCGCCAAATCGCCCCGATTTCCTTCCCGCGTAGCCTGACCCGAAATGGGGCGATACGGCAACGTTGCTCGCGCAAAGGTTGCCATTCATGCACTGTAAAAAGGTAGGGTTATGCAGACGTTTCGTCGTTCCGGGCTCAAATGCCGAAAGTTCCGGGTGCTGGAGCCGTAACTTTGACTGCCTCGGGTTCAGTAATCGGGGCTACGGGCCGAAAGTTCCGGGTGCCGGAGCCGTAACTTTGACTGCTCCCGGTTCGGTGACCGGAGCTACGGGTGCTACACCCGGAACTTTCGGCCTCTGAGCCTGGAACGGGCTGTATGCCTCTATAGTCCGTACGTACGGCTTTTACAACCCTGGGTTAATTTTTCAGAATGCTATTTTCTGTAATAAAATAACCGAAAAAGCACAAATATAATGTGTTACTGAGGAGAATAGTTACGGCCTGTTACACTCAAACTTTCGTAATCGTGCCTCCTCAAGAACTCAACCGCTCTAATTTAAATAAACTGATTGATCAAGCTAAATCATCAAAATTTGTCTTTTTCGTAGAAAGCAGGAAGATTTTATCGGCGCTCAGAGTCAAAAAAGTTTTTCGTCCATATTATTCCACGAGAAAGTTGGACTTACTGCTGTCATGAGCCGTTGGGTGTCGGTGTTTGTCACTGTTCTTTCCTACCAATTTTGAATCTCAAAAATTGTTCATGGTCACGACGGAACATGACCACACAAGCATGAAGATACTCTCCTCTTGCTGCTGTCTTGCCTGATATGAGATAAATAACGTCCTTTTTTACACATTGAAAAAAAAAAAAAAAAAAAAAAAAAAAAAAAACTCCGGCCGTGGGAGCCGGCACCCATGGGCTATATGAACATACAGTCCGCGTTCCGGGCTGAGAAGCCGAAAGTTCCGGGCGGAGCATCCGAAAAAATCGAGGCTATACTGCTCCAGCACCCGGAACTTTCGGCTTCTGAGCTCGGAAAAACGGTATGTCTGCATAGCAAGGAACTTTGTTATTCAGTGCATAATAGTCGAATTCGTCGATTTTTAAGATATGAAAAGCCGTAAGAATAGGGCACATGTCCCGGTGGATTTAGAGTACCTGTATAGCGAGAGTACAGACAGATGTGAAACTCCGAAAATCCATCAGGCCTTCACCGATGCCTCCGCTAGTAAAGTAAGGGCCCAGAAATCCAGCCAACCTATGAATTTCAATTATCCAGGGCGATTTACTAATACAAATATTACGAATCATCGTTTATAAAGTACGTATTTGGCTTAGTTTTTTCATACATTTACTCATTTTTGCGGAAGAACGCTCATTTATGTACATTCTTAGTCATCATGGCTAGAATGGGCCTGTTGCATGCAAGAGATACAGCCGCGCGAATAGACTTTTTAGAGGTTAAATGACACGAAAATTACGATGGTCTCATTAAAAAAGTCTGAAATACACTCCTTACTGCGCAATTTGCGTTGTTAGGAAGGCGCTTTTTCAAATTTCCCGCGTCTAGGGGCAGTTTTCTAATCACCGGAAACGAGCAAACGGCGGGCTCGGTGATTTCCGGAAGATGCCGAGTCGTTGTTGTTGTTGTTATTTTTTCCTTTAGTTTGTTTACAAACCCAACGTGATCTCTTATAGTGGTCCATGTACGCTATATGGGGTAACGAAATCGATCAACTTTTAAATATCCAACGCAATTCTTCTACATTTCATTTCACGATATCACGAGCTCAGATTTTTAGGTTATGTTGTCAGTTTTAGTTGACCGGAAATAGCCGCGAGTTGCCGTTAGAAAACTGCCCCCAGACGCGGGAAATTTGAAAAAGCGCGTTCCTAACAACGCAAATTGCGCAGTAAGGAGTGTATTTCAGACTTTTTTAATGTGACCATCGTAATTTTCGTGTCATTTAACCACTAAAATGTCTATTCGCACGGCTGTATCTCTTGCATGCAACAGGCCCATTGGAATGTGCAGACTGGCAGTGAAATTTTGTGCGTTAGAAGTTGGTTAGAAGGGTGGCTGCACTTTTGGGCCCTAAGCCCTCCATGAAGCGATCTGTCCATACTCTCGCTATATAGGTACCCTAGGTGGATTGAGTTTCTTTTGATTTAAATCCACCAGAATAATGATTGATCTGGCAACTCTGTTCGGGAAACCGGGAGCATTTGGGTGTTGCGTCATTGAGAGGTGTTCGCGGCGACGCTGAGGACAGGAATCAGTCAGCTCCTGGCGCGGTGGCTCCCGGAAGTTGGGAAATAAAGAGAAAGGGACGCTCGGGTCGCCCAGGGAAGATGAGACGTTTATACGGTCAACTGCCTCCAATAAACGGCCTAATAAACATTTTTGTTCTCTCTTGGGAGAGAGTTTTTGGAGGGAACTGGAGTTCTATCTATGACTATGGAGATGTTCTGTTCGGACCTGCTCTATATAAGTCGTATTTTGTTCCGAGGCAACGTTCGCAACATGTTGTGGAAACAAGCAACAATCGCATTTTGTTCGAAGTTGTTTTGTGTTGTGGGGGCGGAACTTAAATTCGCGCACAAAATATGGGAACCCCTACAGGAACATTTTTGTACAACAACTGCAACGTGCTCAAGGCAAGTCGTTTTTATGTTGTTTAGAAAAGCAACGCTGTTTTCTAATCTAAAATTGGAAGTGGCTCTCTTATCGGTTGTTCAGAATCGCGTAAAAAACAAGAAAAAGAGGGAAACATTTGGTGTTTCGGACAAAACACATCTCTTCTGCCGTGGTAAGGAAGAACGCCGTATGAACATTCGCGAGTTGTCAAATTTAAAGTTTATTCTTTAGTAAATCAATGAGTACTTCTCTTTGAAATTTTACAGGAACCTCAGGCAAAAGTGCGAGCAAAATTATCTGAAGAATTGGAGGAAAAATATTCATAAGTTTACCAGGAAATTCTGTTTTCATCAAAGAAGATTTGACAGCGCTTGACGACTCATGTAGCGTTTATCCTTATTAGTGTAGCATAGCACTATAGTGCTATGCTACATTTTACGTGGTCCCATTCTATTCCGTTCCCTCGTGAAGATATGTGAATAAAACAGAATACAAGGGTCGCAGTAGCATGACGTGCTTTGAAATATATCGATTGATCTGCCATTTAAACCTGTGGAAAAGGATCGATATACAGGGTGTTCGCAACGATAACCTCAATTATCGATTCTTCACCACAGCTTTAGATGGGGAAATATTGATAGTCGATCATTCACGCCTTGCGACCAGACCTACTCTATCTTGCTAAGGAGAAGGCCATATAAACATTCGAGATGTTCAAAATTTTTTCTTGTAAAATGTTCAGGTACTTTTGAGGAGAGTTATGGATATTATCTC